GAATCCTACGATTAATTTAAACAAATAATTATATATTTTCTTCATTTAAGTTCTCTTTACGATAATAATTATTTCAAAGCTATTATACAATCGAGTCTTCGATATCAATATTCATTACATTTTAGTTTTAATTATAATTATAAAAATCATTTACTTTTTTGTGTCAATATTCATATGAAAATTAGATATACTTCGCAACGAATTCTTACTTATTATAATTGTCTTTAATTTAAACGTTCATTTAATTTAATTACTATTGATTTAAATTTTTTATACCTATTGAATATATATTTTTGCTGAACTTTTTTTCTCACAATTATTTTGCGTTTCCTATGAATGAAATCGTCGTTTTTTTGGCGTCAAATAAATTGTATCTTTAATTGAGAATTGAATTAAATTTAAAAAACTAATAATAAATGCAATCGATTTGTTTGATTCAAAAAGACTATTCAATAATATATAAAATAAGTTATTTTTTGGTGTGAATTAAGAGTACATTTTATAACACATTTAATACTAGACTTTTGGCACAAAAATTAAAAATTAAGGGAAAAGATATAAATCACAAAACAGGGCGAGTATTAGAGATCAACTCCTATACTATTATCACAGGTGGAGGAGAAAGAGGTGGAACAGTGGGCGCCCACAACCGACAATCTCTTCAGCCTCTGGTCGGCCGCCAGTTTGGGCGACGTTTGCAAAGAGCTCTGGTATTGGGTTAAAAAATTATGAAACCGAATATTCTTCTGGCGCTGAATGTCGACCATTCGCTGTCGCTTTATATGTTGATACCTCTCGGGACTACCGGTCCTGCGATCCACCGCCGAACTGGTCCGACGTCTCGGCGCAAATGTCTGCGTCTTCTTGTCGATGGATGTGTCGATGAGATCGCAGTAATAGACGACAATACAGGTCTGGATGATCACCGCCGACACGATGAGCACCATTAGGCACAGAGCCATTAGCAGCACATAGTTCTTGCGTTTCTCTTCGACGACCCAATAGTTTGTATAATTGTCGAGACAATAAACGACAGCACTTTTGGCTACCCATATCTCGAATGGCATCAGAGCCAACAATAAGACAACATTTATCGTATAGATTGGGTTATAAGTAAACGAATTCTTCAATAGTTTTAACTTTTGCTTCGAGAAGTCAATCACCGGTTCGGCAATCAATGGACACAATTTTTCGCACTCTATATCGCGTTTGACTTTAGGTTTCTTTATGGTAACTCTGCGTCCCGTGTCGTTCACATCGGTAAACATTTCCAGATACACATTGAAATTACTGCTTGGTTTATAGAAAATGTATGTTAATATTCAAGTTATAATATATTATATTAATTTACTGTACAATAAAAAGATGACAATTAAATACCTCTTAAAAATAGTTGAAAGACAGCCAATAAAGGAGAAAACGCCGCAGAAATAGACGATCCGATAGTCACTATCGACCGGATATTTGGCCAAATGTTTGGGCAAACTCTTCGACTCTAATGCCATCCAATTCAAGACAAAGACAATCATAAAGCTATAGACGAGAGTCATTATATTTCCGGAGAAGACAATCATTTGTCTGCAAATAAGCCAATTGTGTTCCAGACGTAAAGACTCGGCCGGAATGGGAGGCGTTTGAAACCAATTGGTCCGCACTTTAATCGGACAAAACATTGTTATGATTGTGATTATGATTAACAATCATATAATTTAATGAATTTAGAATTTAAATGTATGTGATTTCTGTGGATCATGTGTTTGGAAGAAAAATAAATATTTAAATTTATAAATGCATACAAAAAGAGTTGCTTTTTATCTCATTATTAAAAATTGACACTTTGTTTGCAGTGATCTCTCAATGAGTTTTAATATTTTTATGAAAATGTAATTATTTAAATGCTATATTGAAGTGATTATAAAACTTCAAATAAAACTAAAGTATTTATCATAATTATTTACAGCGAAAACTACTTGTTTCTAATGGTGTGATCCTTCAAACTTGTATACAATACTCTGTTATCAAATGGTTATTAAATTTGACCAAAAAAAACATTTCCATTATTATTACATGTAAAACATGTTTGTTTGAAATCTTGTAATTAGATTAAAGTGTTATTTTGCATGTAATTAATTAATTGTTTTCTTGTTATTAGAAATTTATTAAGTTATAAAAATATAATATTTAATTTTAAATTAATTTATAAGTTTTTATCTTTAATTTCATTAAAAAATCTATAAATAAATTAAATTTTCTAGACATGTCTGACGACTAAAACGATTATAATTATAGTTATTTTAATAATATTTTTAATTTAATATTATTTGTTAAGTAATTGTAACTAAAATGGAAATATTAATAAATCCATACAATTATTACTCCCAATAGAATAATACATTTCCTTATTTCGTAAACTATTATTACATTTTATAACCTCAAAGTAATACAAAATATTATATAATTCAATACATTTAACATATTTAATGACAAATCCTTTTCACAATGAAAAACATTATGTAAATTACGAATAAAACTATTATAAAAGCCGAAAAATAATTATAAAATCAATTTCAAAAGTTTTTTCAATAGAAGAAAAATTATATTTCTAAATACAGTTAACAAAACTATTTTGTTTGAAAAAAAGTTTTCTCAAAACATAGAAACTCTTCAAAGCGTGAAACGAAAGACAACTTTATTTCATTAACGGAAGCGAAAGGTCTNAGAATAGGCGCAGAGATAATAAGTTATATTTATTAATAACAATATAATAGTCATATTAATTGTGATACAGACTACTACTGGTGTGAAGCAAACATATTAAGTTGAATATACCTATTGTTTAAAAGCAAGAACTTCTCAATCCTTCTCTAAGCCTAACGTTCACAACAAAAGGGTTTGCGATATAATAAGAGTCGAGAATCCGAAACACAAGTTATGAACGATTATTATGTGTTGTGTCTGTCATTAAGATGAAAGACGTCGTACTCATAGCAATAGTCGCCGTAATCGTAGCCAACGTTAAACTGACGGCCACTATAGGCCGGGGCTCACTATTAGACCCGGAGGCCGACGTACCCATAAAGCGTCTCAACGCTGGCCACGCGACCACTCTTAAAATACCGCTCGAAGAGTCACTCGAACGGATCCGATCCTATCCTCACCGAAAGGATGCGCTCATCAGAAGTTTGGGCGCAACTGCTCTCAAACAGAGGGCCGGAAGAAATCTTATATTCCGAGTACTACTCACTATTGGTAAGTGATTTGCATATCATTTGCAGTGTTACTTTCTTTATTAACTAATATTTTAATTTAAAATAAATGCTAATTTTCTATCGATCGCTAATTTATATGCAAATGAATTTCACAAAATTTGTTCAATAATAAACTTGTTCAACATTCATTCACTTTAGTTTTTTCAGTTGTTTATTTATTTATTTACAAATATAATTAAAATTCACTGAAATTTATTATGCAATTCAGTTTCAAGTGATAGAAATATCTGAGAGTTAGTATTGATTTTTGTTTTATATGTTTGCGCCTATTCTTTACACATTTAATAATTTTTGTAATTCTCATTATTTCTATCAATCTATTTAAACACACAAAGAATGCAATCCATAAATAAGACCAGATTTCCTGACAAATTACGATAAAATCAATAAAACAATAGATATATACCTGAATGTCCTTCACATGACATTTCGCATTAAATCTCTATATAATTAAATTTACAAAATATACTAAAATTACAAAAAAAAACTAAAGGCTTTCAAAACGATTTGACGGAATGCACGGCTCGAGTGATGTGTGAGACCACATGTGAGGATGAGGTGAATAAAGTGGCCAACAGTTACTTCGATACGTATCCGACGGACGACTATTACGTAACGTATGTGTTGGAGGCCATCGAGAAGGGCCGGGAGTTGGGCGCCGGATACTCGTGCGCCAGTTGTCAGAAACTTTACCCTTTTTGCCAAAACGACAAAATATTGAAACAAGTGGTCGACAAATACTACTATTTGTTTGAAGTCACTAATTATGTGTTGGAAAAGCTTCCCTCGTAATCAAGGGAGGCGTCGTGGGAGGGGTCGAGGGCTCACAACTCCACGTATAGTATAGTTAGCACATGACATACATGTATATTACATGATATTACATATCGATAAATAATTAATTATATTAACGGTAGTATTAAATAATAAAAGTAAATAATTTGTATAATAAATTTATAATTTAAGATTTTTAATCTCTTTTTATATGTAATAATTATTAAATTAAATTAATAAAAACTAAATCACAATTTAAAAACTATTGAAACAAACAGTTATTAAAAGTATTTATACATTATTTGATGACTCGTTTGTATGAATTTATAACTAATTATTTGCTTTTTGTTGACGCAAAAAGTGCAATTCGTTGACTCCGGCCTTGTTTTTGACCAACTCTTGTACGGAATAATACCACAAACCTATGCGAGTCTTTTCCAACAGATCGGTGAACGCATCGCAGCCTTCAATTGAATTCAACACACCGTAAACGGCCTGAAAATCCATAAATAACACATTAATACAACAAAACAACACAACAACTAATCTTAATTGTCAATTACTGACCAAATCGGCCAAATTGGGTGCATTTCCGCCCATAAACTTGCGATCTTTGCCAATGGCTTTGAGCCACTGTCTGGACGACATATACAGCGATTCCCTCACATCGTCGGTCAACTTGTGTTTCTTTTTGAGTCGTTTGCCGATCAAATACATGGCACCCGAACCCATATAAATGCATAAATACTTTTCCCACAGTTTAAAATTGTCGTCCCATTCGCCGATCACCGAGAAATAGCGGAAAGCCCTCAACGCTTCGGGAACTGTTCGGTAGATATTGGGCGACAGCATATGCACCATATGGTCGTCGGCCCAACGCCGCCAATTGCGCTCTTCGGCCACCGATCCCTCGATCGCTTCCAGTTTGGGCACAGATATGTCGCCAAACATCAGAAAATACCGATTGATCACTTCGTCGGCTCGCGTGCCGTCCTCTTTGAGCACTTCCTTCTCGTGATACCATTCGGCGATCGAACGAAGAGATTCTTTTGCGTGATTCGAGTCCGGCTTTCGGCTGATCAGGTATGAGGACAGCGCCGACACGATTGTCGTCGAGTCGTTTATTTGCTATCAATTTCAGTATTCAAATGCATTTGTTATTCCCAATTGTCGTTTCCATTGTGTCTAACATTATGTTTAGACTATGTGTTAAATACTGACCAACACTTCCGACTCGCCGTCCTTCTGGATGAGAAGCACCGGTACTTTTCTGTACTTCGAGAACTTTAGCTGTTGTCTCATCACTGGATTCACTTCCACCACATTATAGGGTATACCCATGTAGTCGAGGAATGCCCGCACTTTGCAACAGAATGGACACGACTGGTACTGGTATAGAGTGAATGTCATTCCCAGGTCTGTAGGGCCCGACACCTGTCATAATACAAATCAAGTGTCAAATAGATTAGTCTCCAAATCAATTCTCATACTTTGCAACAGAATGGACACGACTGGTACTGGTATAGAGTGAATGTCATTCCCAGGTCTGTAGGGCCCGACACCTGTCATAATACAAATCAAGTGTCAAATAGATTAGTCTCCAAATCAATTCTCACATTCTATATATAAATAGTTCATAAATTAAATTTTGATTAAAATATACTTTAAATTGTATGGAAAATGAATATAAAAATTAATTAAACAATTACGGTAGTTAATAACATTCAAAATAATTGATTTATAACAGCAATACATACATTGAAAATGAGATCAAAAATGCAAACAATTAAAAGAAGAGCATTAAGTCCATTGAGTTAGTGGTGGAAAGAGATTAACAATTATGGTTAGTATTTAATGAATACACAATATTCACGACAAGCGATGGAACCGTAAAATTAAGGTCGACTACAATAACACAATTATCTAATAAATGACCACAAAATAGCCGCTAATTATTATAAACAATCAACAATTGCAAGCAATTAAACAATTTTTATGGTATTTTATGCAATATTAATAGCTTTGTGTCAAAAAAGTGATTAAATGAGTCATTTTCGAGCAAAATATTAATTAATCACAAAATGTATTTAAAAACCACTTGTTTTAAAACAATTAATAAATCAAATAGTGTTTTAAAGAAATGTTGGAAAGGGATGGGCAATGGAGGGGGCATTAGATGACACTTATAATACTTATTGATAACAATTTATGGTATTTGACGGGAGGGACGGGTGCCGGACATAACATACATGTGATTTGGTAAATGATATGCAAATCAAGTGACAATTCACTATCACTTTCAAAGTGATGCAAACAATTAATGTAAAAAATAAATCTCAATTAAATGTGTGATAAAAGGTAAGCTGTGGTGTGGAGGGGGAGGACAAGCCGGGTATGTCTGTCAACTGTACGGTCAACGGTTCCCGTAAGCGGTGGTGCGGTTTTCAGCGCAAATGAGGGTTCAATTTTGCGGTCCATTTCAATGCGTGAGACAATAATTGTAGTCATAATTAAAGATACAAATAAAATAAAAAACAATAATTAAATGAATTTAAAAGTAATGCCAGAAATGTTTTATACAAAACACAGATTGAAATGAAATGAATGAAATGTTTGCCCAAAAAGATTGTCTTTCAAATGGTTTCAAATACTCACAGCTCTGGAAGCGGCCATTTGTGGCACTTCTTCGGCCGCTAATACCTGCGCGGCTGAAGACAGTGAACGCCTGGATCTCATTTTACTACCGAAGTATCGGTAGGCGGTCTCGACC